TATTAGAGCATAAGCTTTCGTGGGCTACAACCCACTTCTTCGGATGCTTATGCATAAGCATAAGCATAAGCATCTGAAGAAGTGGGTTGTAGCCCACGAAAGCTTATGCTCTAATAAATTTGTTAGTCTCTAAGGTGCCACAAGTACTCCTGTTCTTTTTGCAGCATCAATGAAGATTCACACAACTCCTATCATAATAGTATTGTTACAGTATATTCATATTCTTTTGAGAAGTCAAAGTTATCACAAGCTCTTCTTAAAAAATGAGCCTTTGATTAAAAAATTAGTGAATGGAATGGTGAAACAAAATCCTTCCCTCATTCAAAATAACTTTTTGCATGTCCAGGAACCATATAAAACCCTTTTCTGGATTGTTAGGCACATAGTTGCTCTGAGTGTCAGGCAGCAGAACCAAGAATATTTTATTGTGGCTATCTGCATAAGACCTAGAGTCATGAGAGATGGGTTCTAGTTTTGACTCTACCACTGACCTGCTGTGAGTCTGGGTAAGTCACTTAATATTCATGGAATACATGAAAACTGCAGCTTTTAGATCACCAGTAACAGGAGCCAAGGCCAAGTGGAGAAAGTCATTGTGGGCCATGTTAGGAAGGTGTTTCACCATCTGTAAAATGACGATATTTCCCTACCTCCTAAGTCTGTTGTGAATCTTCTATTATTCATGTTTCTCAAGTGCATTGAGAACCTATTTAAGAGTCTTTATAAATGCAAATGATAAGCTTCACTGAATTCTTGGTGCCAAGGTTTGAATCTTTCTCCCACTTTTTTCCCATGTTCTTTAAGTCTCCTGTTTTTGTTTTTTATTGAAGATGAGCAATTTTATTTTCAATTGAAAAGCATAACAAAGAGAAGGCAAGAAGTGTTCCTCTTATGAGAAGTTGCTTTAGCCACTTTAGTGCTCTTGCATTTTGCTGACACCATCATTAGTAGAGGCAATCTGAGGAGCAGGGCCGGCTCCAGGCACCAGCCCACCAAGCTTGTGCTTGGGGCGGCACCTG